AATGAGAACTGCCATTTGTGGGGCGCCTGGGGGGCAAGTCCCTTAAGCATCCGACTCTTGGTTTCAGCTCAGGTCGTGATCTCCCAGTGGTTGAGATTGAGCCCCACACTGGACTCCGTACTCAGCATGGAGTCCACTTAAGTTTCTCTCTCTCTCTGCCCCTCCCCATACTGCGTGCTCGTTCTCTCCCTCTCTAAAATAAATAAATCTTAAAAAAAAAAAAAAGCTGCATTTATGAAAGAACAGTCTGACAGGATAAACTAGGCAGCTATTGTAACAGTCAAGGCAAGAGAGAGAATAAGGGCCTGAACTAAGACAGTAGCAATGGAGTAAAGGGGTGGGGGAGGATTTGAAAGATGACCTGGTTAATCCAGTTTTAATAATGAACCTAAGACTGCATGAGCTAATCTGGCAGCCACACTACCAGTCTGTAGGTTCATACTGATTTTTTTTTTTTAATAAACTGCTATTAAGCCTAATTAATTTTAATAACCTAAATATAGGACTAGTTCTTATATCTTTTGTAGGCAGTATGGTACAAGAATTAAAGATTACAGACACTGGAGCTAGACAGCCTAAGTTCAAACCCTGATTTTGCCACTTACTAGCTGTGTGATCTCAGATAAGTTACTTGACTTCTCTGTGCTTCAATACCTACCTGTAAGGGTTACTGTAAGTGCAAATGAGTTAATACATGAAGTGCTTAGACTAGTACCCCATCCATCTTAAGTGCTATATAAGTTTTAGCTTATTCACCATTTTTTGTATTTCAACAACTTGAAAGTTAGTTTCAATCAACAGTTTCAATTGTCTAAATACTTCTACACATTCCAGCTTGCAAATATTCACTGTAAATATGATAGACACATCTTTTCTATATCTTCATTGGTGCTTATGTTCAAACTGGTAAAATATAACAACAGCCATCCAGAACACCACTAAAAACAGCCCTTCCTGGTAAACACTGATCCATTATTAATACTTATACAATACCTGCTTGTAAGCCAGCCCAAAATTTTGTCTTGGGATCACATGAGAAAATGTTAAATACCTAACTGTAGGACTTACACCACATTATCTTTTTTTTTTTTTTTAAAGATTTTATTTATTTATTTCAGAGAGAGAGACACAGCGAGAGAGGGAACACAAGCAGGGGGAGTGGGAGAGGGAGAAGCAGGCCTCCCGCTGAGCAGGGAGCCTGATGTGGGGCTCGATCCCAGGACCCTGGGACCATGACCTGAGCTGAAGGCAGACGCTTAACCGACTGAGCCACCCAGGCACTCCTCACCACATTACCTTTGTAGCATATTCCAGACCATCCAACCTAGAATCTTTGCAAAAATGCATTGTCCTGACATACAACAAAATGTTATATGTAGTAATCATCTATGGATGGTTTGATTTTTCCCATTATTTATCTTTATTTTCTAGATTTCTATAATAAACTTGTACTAATGCTATAGTTTAAATAAAAACAAGGGAGAGCATGGGCACCTGGGTGGCTCAGTCAATTAAGCGACTGCCTTAGGCTCAGGTCATGATCCCAGGGTCCTGGGATCAAGTCCCATATCGGCCTCCCTGCTCCGCGGGGAGTCTGCTTCTCCCTCTGCCACTCCCCAACTCGTTCTCTCAATCTCTCTCACCCTCTCAAATAAATAAATAAAATCTTTAAAGAAAAAAAACAGAAAACAAGGCAGAACTTAAAGAAAACAACTGTTATTAGTTAGCATGACTTACTTAGTGAACACAAGTGGCTTCTAGGGGACACTGTGTTCTCATCCTTTGCTCAGTCAATTTTAGAATTTCACCAGGGATTACTGTCAAGTGTCCACTGATACCCTCAAACCCATGTGACCAAAAGGTTAAGTCCAGAGAAATCAAACATTTCTACAGGGAGAACTAGAATTTGACCCTACCTTCAAAACATGTCCAGAATCCACTGCTTTCTGGCTATGCACCATGGGACCCTAGTCCCAGCCATCATCCCTCCCCTAGGCTGTACTGATCACTGCAAGAGTTTCCTCACTGGTCTCTCTGTTTCACTTCACACTGCCTGCCTTGCCCTCCCCTCCGCCCCCCTCCAGTCTATTCTCCCACAGCAACCAGATGAAGCCTTTCAAAACAGAAGTCAGCTCATTCACTCCTCTGCTCGGACTCTCCAGTGCCTCCCCCATCTCACTTAGAATGAAATCCACTCCAAAGGTCTTACCCTGGCTCTGAGCATATACCTGATCTGGGTCCCACTGCTTCCCTGCTCTTGCTCCTACTACTCTTTCCCTCCCACTCCACTCCAGTCACAGGCCTCCTTGTCAAGGACAAGTTACACTCATACCTTGGGGATCCTACACCTGCTGTTCCTTCTGCCTGGGATGCTTTTCTCCCAGATATTCCTGGCTGGATCCCTCACTTCTTTCATACCTTGGCTGGAACTATCACCTCATCAGAGGCCTTCCCTGATCTCCTTACATAAAGGAGCAGTCCCCCAGACACCTTATCACTTGGCCACCTGACCCTGCTTTTGTTTTTCTGAGCACATATCACCTAGTGGATATTTTTTATCTACTTACCTGCTTGTTTCTATCTAGTTATTCATTTTCTTTTTTTATGTTTCTACCCTTTAGTATATAATCCTTGAGAGCAAGGACTTTTCCTGTTTTGTTTCGTGCTGTATTGTTGTTTTGTTTAGAGCTGTTTAGGTCCAAGAATTGTGCTAACATGTAGTAAGTGGTCAATCTCTATCACCAGAACATAAGCCCCAGTATATAACAAAATACTCTATGTACAATAGGTATGTGTAGTAAGTTTTGTTAAAGAAAATGATCACCTGCCCTGTCAAATTCACCAAGTATATTAAAAAACATTGATGCTTCTTAACTATAGAGAACAAACTAAATGTTGCTGGAGAGAAGGTGGGCGGGGGATGAGCAGTAAGGAGGGTACTTGTGATGAGCACTGGGTGTTATATGTAAGTGATAAATCACTAAATTCTACTCCTGAAACTAATATTACACTGTATATTAACTAAGTAGAATTTACATAAAAACTTGAAACATAAAAACACACAAACAAAACCACAAAACACTGGTACTCCAATAAAAAGGGACTATAATACCATCAGAAAGATCTATGAACAACGAATGCTGGCTGCCACACCACCCAAACAGAACGAGTTTCCTAACCCAGTTCCCTGAGGTAGGAAAAATGCTCTAGGGAAAGGAACAGAACAAGAATCCTGAGCCAATTTTTTTTATATAATTTTTTTTTTTAAAGATTTTATTTATTTATTTGAGAGAGAGAGAGAGAGCACATGAGAGGGGGGAGGGTCAGAGGGAGAAGCAGACCCCCTGCTGAGCAAGGAGCCCGATACGGGACTCGATCCCGGGACTCCAGGATCATGACCTGAGCCGAAGGCAGTCGCTTAACCAACTGAGCCACCCAGGCTCCCCAATTTTTTTTTTTTTAACATTTATTTATTTATTTGAGAGAGAACACAAGCAGGGGGAGCAGCAGGCAAAGGGAGAAGCAGGTTCCCCTCTGAGCAAGCAGCCTGATGCGGGACTTGATCCCAGGATCTTGAGATCATGACCTGAGCCAAAGGCAGATGTTCAACCGACTGAGCCACCCAGGCGTGCCAAGAATCCTGAACCAAGTAACAGGGCAAGAGTTTGCCTCAAAGTTTCCCACCCCCTTAAGAAGAGCCCGAGCTATGTGTGATGTGCCCCCTTTCCTGGGAGGGGTCACCCTGAGAGTGAGAGGTCTTGTTGAGATTCCTTTCCTACATTCTGTCCTGTCACTACTATGCCTAGAACCAGTTCCCAGACTCAGTCAGCGGCCGCCCCATCGCTTTACCTTTTCCAGAGAACCTTCTTCTAGCTATACTCCAGCTACCCCTGGTGACCAAAACCACTCAGTTTGGTCCTTTGGCTACACAAGTGTGAGCTCCTTCTATTTCCTCACTGCGCTCCGCCTTGGTTAGCAACAACCAAGAAAATAACTAGAGTGCAGAATCCAGAAGGGCTAGGAAAAGGAGCTAGCTGTCAACCAAGACAGGTTTTTGTTTATTTTGCTTTGTTTTTTAAACATTAAGTCAGTCACTGTCTCAACCAATAACAGTAACTTTCTCAAAAGAGAAACATTACAGTACAATGAAAATAACCCAGGATGAAATCCAGTCCTCCCCTTCACTCCCTGTGTGAACTTGGAGAAGTTATTTAATGTCTCCAGGTTCATTTCCCTGGGGTGAAAGTAATAGCACTTACCTGTAGCGTCAGCGTGAATCCTAAGGGAGATCATGCACGTCAAACAGGACCGTGCCTGGTGCACAGTAAGTACTCAGCAAACGCTAGCTTAGGCCTGTTTCTGAAAGTTGTTGACTAAATGCAAGGATTTTTACCTTGGGTAGGTTGGCTGTTTGGCTGATTACATTAGAAAACACATGAAGGGGGCACCTGGGTGGCTTAGTTGATTAAGTGTCTGCCTTCGGCTCAGGTCATGATCTCAGGGTCCTGGGATCGAGCCCCGCATCGGACTCTCTGCTCAGCACGGAATCTGCTTGTCCCTCTCCCTCTGCCACCGCCCCCCCACCGGCTCGTCTCTGTCTCTCTCTCAAATGAATAAATAAAATCTTAAAGAAAAAAAATTAGGGCGCCCGGGTGGCTCAGTCGTTAAGCGTCTGCCTTCGGCTCAGGTCATGATCCCAGGGCCCTGGGATCAAGCCCCACATCGGGCTCCCTCCTCGAGGGGAAGCCTGCTTCTCCCTCTCCCACTCCCACTGCTTGTGTTCCTGCTCTCGCTGTGTCTCTGTCAAATAAATAAATAAAATCTTAAAAAAAAAAAAAAAAGAAAGAAAGAAAAAAAATTAAGTACACACAGTGTTTGGTTCATCAACAAATATTAACTTTCCTCCCTCTCCCGCAGTGATGCAAAAATTGCAGAGACTTCAGAAACCATGCAATTCTATCTGTGGCCAGCATACTTTTTTCGCTGTACAGCATACTTACCATTTAGGTAACTTAAGCTTTCCGTTAATGCTCCTGGTGGCCCCCCTGGTGCTTGCTGTCTTGGAAACAGGTGCTCACTATCTTTCAATGGCAGCTGCCTCTTGACCTGGACAGATTATAAACAGAAAGCAAGACATAGGTAAAGCGGGAATTGCACCAAGACTGGGCTGAAGGGAGAGGAGACTTCCCTTTTCCTTTCAGATGATATGGTCTCAAGGCAGACTATGCTGTCTTTCTTATATTAACATGACTCCACAGTCCCCAAAAGTCTAAAACTCATGACATCTTACAGCTTGGGAGGGATCTCAGAAATCAACTAGTTAAATGCCCTCAATTTAAGGAAATAAACTGAAACTTGGAAAGGGTGAGTCACACAACTGCTTAGGACTAAAGCCAGGATTCTACTAAAAATACGATGTTCTAGAAGATGGGTAAGAAAAAAACCCCAAACATCTGTGGAGTACCTACCACACCCTGGGCAATATGTTTTATATTTCATACAAGACATTAATACAATAATATCATCCCCTAATAAAGAATCTAAATTTCAAGAAGTCAAGTGATTTGTCCAAGATCTTACAGCTTGTTAATAAATGGCAGTCAGGGGGCTCCTGGGTGGCTCAGTCGTTAAGCATCTGCCTTCGGTTCAGGTGGGATCCAGCCCCGCATCAGGCTCTCTGCTCAGCAGGAGGCCTGCTCCTCCCTCTCCCATTCCCCCTGCTTGTGTTCCCTCTCTCACTGTCTCTCTCTGTCAAATAAATAAATAAAATCTTTAAATGAATGAATGAATGAATGAATGAATGGCAGTCATCAGGATTCAAACCCATGCCTGTCTGACAAAAAAGCCCCTTCACCAGGCTGACTCTTATTGGGTTGCCTTCGAGATGTGGTCCTCAAAAGGGCCTTGAAACACCCAGTATCAATTAAAACTAAGTAGGGCTTCTCTGTCTGAAAATTACCCTCTGGTTTTATAACAAGCATCATGCCGGAGACCTGAAAGGTCTACTAACCCATTGAATGTTACCCCTAAAGTTTCAGAAGAATTACTGGAGGTGGAAGATCTGGGGCAAACTTTTGTCTATCCTCGTCTTGCCAAAGAATGCTAAGATACCTTCTACGCTGGAAGTAAAGCTTCTATACTTGATCTTCAACACAAACTAACCCCCTTCTCTCATCATGATGGCCCATCCCTCCCTTACACATCCCACAGACTACCTTGTGACCTCCTTCCGAGGCCGTTGTTCCCTTTAGTCTAATTTCCACCTCCACTACCAACCCCATAACACACACACAGTAGAGTCCATCCCTGCCTCTATGCTCCTAGAGTGAGACGGCTTAAAATTAAAATAGAGAGATAACTGAATGATAGTTTTTTCAAATGGCTTTAAAAGAAAGATGAGGGGGCCGGCTGGGTGGCTCATTTGGTTGAGCATCCAACTCTTCGTTTTGGCTCAGGTCATGATCTCAGGGTCATGAGATCCAGCCCGGAGTCAGGCTCCTCACTGATCCTCTCTATCCCACCCACCCCCGTCCCTCCCCCACCTCCTCTTGCACATGCTCACTCTCAAATAAATAAATCTTTAAAAGAAATATGAGGGCCTGAAGCCTCAAGCCAGTAAGACCAGAACAGAAAAGAATTAATAACAAGCAATAAAAATAGAAAAGTAGGAAAAAAGAGCTATACTAGGGTCAGCACCCAAGGGATGGCCTGAGTGGATGTGGGAGAAGTTTTAGCTTCCCCCACAAACCCTCCCCCCGCCACACACATTTTTTTAAAAGTCAGTCGAAGTAGACCGTGTATAATTGCCATTTCAATCTGCTCTGTCTCCCCTCGGCCCACCAATGACAGCAGCACCGCTGAGAGCTACTGCCCGCCCCCACAGCCTCCTGCCACATTTCCCGGCGTATTACTAAGGCCCAGGGGGCTATTCCTTTCAAAACAGGAGAGAATACATTGCCAGAATCAAACAAACAGGAACTCCTGATGATCCAGATTTATTTTCAACTGTCTACATTCTCTCCTTATTTCTAAGGGATGGAAGCAAGCAGCAAATGATTTCTTTCCTTTGCTTCTGAATGTCATTTACTTCGTGCATCCTTGGCACACTGGCCTTCTATCCCCAGAACAAGAGGATGACTGTAAAGATCCTCATACTCTTTAGTGCTGCCCCTTCAGAGAGCTTTCCACCCTGGGAGATCCGCCCACACCGTTAACTTTGCCGGAGATAGTGTTGGCAGTGTGTATGTGTGGGTAGTGTCTGTCTGTCTGTCTAGAAGCAGAGATGAAAGGACCCTTACAGATCACGGAGAGTCCAACTGCCTCATGTGCCAGAGGAGAAAGTGAGTCCCACGAGAAGAGACTTACCCAAGGTTGCAAAGCAAGTTAAAATGAATACAGTTTTGTCCACCCGAGATAATAAGCTACACTGAAAAAAATGCATCCAATTATCCTTATATGATTGCTGAAGGCTGAAACTCTCTAAATATGTATCACTTTTGTTCCCAAAACACTTTGATAACAGATAAAAATGCTATCAGGTAATTCTGGTTCCAGTATCATCCTCCAACAGATAACCGCAATAAACTCTGGATAAAATGTAAAAAACTATCTGAAGTGAACAAAGGCCGGCAGATTTTGGAGAGAAGTCAAAAACTGGGAGAAGGGGCTGGGATGGGATGAATTCCCCAGTTTGGGAGCTTTCACCAAAAGGCTGACCAGCTGCAGTGCCAATCGAAAAACAAACCCCAGGGGCGCCTGGGTGGCTCAGTCGTTAAGCGTCTGCCTTTGGCTCAGGTCATGATCCCAGGGTCTTGGGATCGAGGCCCGCATCGGGCTCCCTGCTCCGTGGGAAGCCTGCTTCTCCCTCTCCCATTCCCCCTGCTTGTGTTCCCTCTCTCGCTGTCTCTCTGTCAGATAAATAAATAAAATCTTTAAAACAAACAAACAAACAAACAAAAAACCAGGCTTTCTCTCTGGAGGAACCACAGACAGAGTCCAGAGCAGCCACAGGTAATGGGAAATAAGAAAGAAGAGGGCCAGAGAAGCAAAGTCCCAGGTGCTGTGTATGAACTCCATCCAAACCTCTAGCTGAGCCCTGAACCGTGCACACACAGGGCAGAACCCAAGCACCTCAGCCAAGGACCAAAGAACTGGATTAAGGTTTGAACTGCATACCCCCCTCCCCACAGGGGAGACAGACCCTGCAGTTTTGAATCTTAGGTAATTGCCTGCTAAAATAAAAACATCACCAAAAATCAGGGTCTCCATAGCATTAACACCCACACACATTCATGTTCAGACTACAATCCCAGATTACACGAAGAACTAGAAAAACTACACCCAATTTGCAAGGGAAAAGACAATGAGCAGAGGGCAACTCCAAGATGACCCAAATACTGGAATTATCAGACAAGGATATTAAAGCAGCAATTACAGCTAAGCAGAGGAAGTGAAAAAAATTTTATTTAAAAAGTGGAAATTTCAGGGGTGCCTGAGTGGCTCAGATGGTTAAGCGTCTGCCTTCGGCTCAGGTCATGATCCCAGAGTCCTGGGATCGAGTCCCACATCGGGCTCCCTGCTCCGCGGGAAGCCTGCTTCTCTCTCTGCCTCTCTCTCTGCCTCTTTCTCTGTCTCTCATGAATAAATAATTAAAAAAAAAAAAAGTGGAAATTTCAGAACAGAAATGTAATACCTGAAACAACAACCACAAAAATCCTCTGAAAGGGCTTAAGAACAGAATGGAGATGACAGAGAAAAGAGTCCATGACATCTGCAGATCAAGAGAAATTATCCAAAATCAAAAACTCTGGGTCATCCACAGTCTCTAGAAGAACCACCCTGAGTCCTTCACCTGAGTGTACACAGTGATACCTTGATTTTCTGTTACCAGAGAGAACCAGAATAACTAAGGATCACGGAGATACCAGGACCCTGCAATTCTGCTGGAGCAGGCCACCCCTCATATCTACTAATTAACTTTTTGAGTTCTTCCAGACGTAAGCAAAGAACTAAACTGAAGGTGGAAAATGAGAGGGCGGGATAAAAATTTAAACCTGAGATAACCATAATATCCAAAGTCCTAGGAGTCAAATCTGGTGCCCCACTGTGTCTAATGAGAAGCAAGAAGCAAGGAGACAATCACTTTTCCCCTAGAATTGCTGAGTGAGCATTCTCAGGAGTATTCAGGAAAAAAGTGAGGAGAGATTTTGTTTTTTCTGCCCTATGCAATCTCTTCACCAAAAAGCCAACCTGTAAACAGGTTGATGGCAGGATGGAGTGGGACCAGTCACTGGGTCTGGGGCTTAAGAGTGGCAGCAGCTTGGGGAGAGCCAATCTAGTGCCACCTAGGCTGATAAAAGCAGGTAAGCTGAATGCCATCCCTGACCAGCTTCCCACATTCAAGTCACTTCATGCAGGAGTTCAAGACACTCCAGGTAGGGGCGCCTGGGTGGCTCAGTTGTTAAGCGTCTACCTTCGGCTCAGGTCATGATCCCAGGGTCCTGGAATTGAGCCCCGCATTGGGCTCCTTGCTCCGTAGGAAGCCTGCTTCTTCCTCTCCCCACTCCTCCTGTTTGTGTTCCCTCTCTCACTGTGTCTCTCTCTGTTAAATAAATAAATAAAATCTTAAAAAAAAAAAAAGACACTCCAGGTAAAAGTAGGGGGAAAAACACAGGCTGCAGAAGACATGTCTGAAAGCCCTGACTTTTTCTCAACCCCTCTCTGCCCCATCCCACCTGCCCACAAGGGCGGAGAACCCAGAGCAAGTGGAAAACTGGGGAAAAGAGGTACCCTCTTAGGGTGAGGAACCTGGAACAGGAGTTCACAGCCACCTGACCCACTGTCAACCTCACACAGGTCTTTTATACTCTGGGTCTCTGTTTTATTAGCCAAACAAAACACTCAAGACAAAATGATATTTAAGGGCCTTTCCAATAACAACATGTATGAACCCTTAAGATGCTGTGTCCATGTGCCCTTGAAGAAACCATAAATAATAGGTCCCAAAAGGCAAAAGTGGCAACATCCCAACTCATGTGATTTATTAGAATACCTCAGGGTTATACAATTATTCACATTTTAAAGAATAAATTAATAATCTTGTTATT